TCCATCTCAGTTCCTGTGCCACTGGTGTTATATTTAGGAAGTGGTCTCCTGTACTAACTCGTTGAAGAGTATCTCCCACTTTCTCTCCTAAAAGTTTCAGTGTGGCTGGATTTATGTTGAGATCTTTGATCCATTTGGACTTAAGATTTGTACAACATGATAAACATGGATCTATCTGGAGTCTTCTGCATACCAGTACCCAGTTATGCCAGCACCATTTGTTGAAGATGCTTTCTTTTTTTCCATTGTACAGTTTTAGCTTCTTTGTCAACAATCAAGTGTTCATAGGTGTGTGGGTTAAAATTAGGGCTTTCGATCCGGTTCCATTGGTCTACCTGCATATTTTTGTGCCAATACCAAGCTGTTTTCAGGACTAAAGCTCTATAATAGAGCTTGAAGTCAGGTATGGTGATGCCTCCTGAAGTTACTTTATTGTGTAGGGTTGTTTTGGCTATCTTGGACCTTTTGTTTTTCCATATAAAGTTGATTAATGTTCTTTCCAGGTCCTTGAAGAATTGTGATGGAATTTTGATAGGGATTGCATTGAATCTGTAGACTGCTTTTGGCAAGATTGCCATTTTTATTATGTTGATCCTACCAATCCAAGAGTATGGGAGATCTTTCCATTTTCTGGTATCTTCTTTGATTTCTTTCTTTAAGGACACAAAGTTCTTTCACTTCCTTGGTTAACATTATCCCCAGATATTTGATGCTGTTTTTGGCTATTGTAAAGGGTGATGTTTCTCTGATTTCTTTCTCAGGCAATTCATCATCTGTATATAATAGGGCCACTGATTTTTTTGAGTTTACCTTGTATCCTGCCACATTGCTGAAGGTGTTTATCAGCTCTAGGAGTATCCTTGCGGAGTTTTTTGGGTCAGTTATGTAAACTATCATATCATCTGCAAATAGTGAAAGTTTGACTTCTTCTTTTCCTATTTGTATCCCCTTTATCTCCTTTTGTTGTCTTATTGCTGTAGCTAGAACTTCAAGTACAATATTGAAGAGATATGGAGAGAGTGGACAGCCTTGTCTTGTTCCTGATTTTAGAGGAGTTGCTTTGAGTTTCTCTCCATTTAGTTTGATGTTAGCTGTTGGTTTACTGTATACTGCTTTTATTATATTCAGATACGTTCCTGTTATCCCTGATCTCTCTAGGACCTTTATCATGAAGGGGTGCTGGATTTTGTCAAAAGCTTATTTAGCATCTAGTGTGATGATCATGTGGTTTTTCTTTCGCAGATTGTTAATATTAATGTTAATATGGTGGATTACATTGATAGATTTTCTAATGTTGAACCATCCCTGCATTCCTGGGATGAAGCCTACTTGATCACGGTGGATGATTTTTCTGTTGTGTTCTTGAATCCGGTTTGCGAGTATTTTATTGAGTATTTTTGCATCGATGTTCATGAGGGAAATTGGTCTATAGTTCTCTTTCTTAGTTGTGTCTTTGTGTCGCTTGGGTATCAAGGTAATTGTAGCCTCATAGAAAGGGTTTGGCAGTGAGCCTCCTGCTTCTATTGTGTGGAATACTTTGAGGAGTATTGGAATTAGCTCTTTGAATTTCAGGTAGAATTCTGCACTGAAGCCATCTGGGCCTGGGCTTTTTTTGTTTGGGAGACTTTTGATGACTGCTTCTATTTCATTAGGGGTTATAGGTCTGTTTAGATTGTTTATCTGTTCTTGATTTAGTTTTGGCAAGTGATATCTATCCAGGAAATTGTCCATTTCCTTTAAATTTTCAAATTTGTGGAGTACAGATTTTCAAAGTATGCCCTGATGATTCTCTGGATTTCCTCGGAGTCTGTTGTTATGTCCCCTTTTTCATCCCTGATTTTGTTAATTAGCATGCTCTCTCTCTGTCTTTTGGTTAGTTTGGACAGAGGTTTATCTATTTTGTTGATTTTCTCAAAGAACCAACTCTTTGTTTCATTGATTCTTCTCAGTGTTTTCCTGGTTTCTACTTGATTGATTTCAGCCCTCAATTTGATTATGTCCTGGCGTCTGCTCCTCCTGGGGGAGTTTGCTTCTTTTTGTTCTAGAACATTCAGCTGTGCTATTAATTCTCTAGTATGACTGTTCTCCAGTTTTTTCATGTGGGCACTTAGTGCTATGAACTTCCCCCGTAGCACTGCTTTCAAAGTGTCCCATAGGTTTGGGTATGTTGTGTCTTCATTCTCATTGAAATCGAGGAAGTCTTTAATTTCTTTTTTTATTTTTTCTTTGACCCAGGGATGGTGCAGTTGAGCATTATTCAATTTCCATGAGTTTGTAGGTTTTCTGCAATTTGTGTTGTTTGTGAATTCTAATTTTAAAGCATGGTGGTCTGATAAGATGCATGGAGTTCTTCCAATGTTTTTGTAGCTGCTGAGGTTTGATATGTTGCCAAGTATGTGGTCGATTTTAGAGAAGGTTCCATGTGGTGCCGAGAAGAAGGTATATCCCTTTGTATTTGGGTAGAATGTTCTATAGATGTCTGTTAAACCCAGTTGGGTCATAACTTCTATTAGTTCTTTTATTTCTTTGTTAAGTTTCTGTCTGGAGGTCCTGTCTAGTGGTGAGAGCAGAGTGTTGAAGTCTCCTACTATTAGTGTGTGAGATTTTATGTGCATTTTGAGCTTTAGTAATGTTTCTTTCACGAATGTAGGTGCCTTTGTATTTGGGGCGTAGATGTTTAAAATTGAGACTTCGTCTTGATGTATTTTTCCTTTGATGAATATGAAGTGTCATTCTTCATCTCTTTTGATTGATTTTAATTTGAAGTCTAATTTGTTAGATATTAGGATTGCTACACCCGCTTGTTTCTTGGGACCTTGTGATTGGAAGATCTTTTCCCAACCCTTTGCTCTGAGATAACGTCTGTCTTTGATGTTGAGATGTGTTTCTTGTATTCAGCAGAAGGAAGGGTTCTGTCTTCGTATCCATTCTGCTAGTCTGTGTCTTTTTATAGGCAAGTTTAGGCCATTGACATTGAGGGATATTAATGACCATTGATTGATGATCCTTGTTTGTGCTTGATTTATTGTTAGTGAAGTTATTTTGTGTAGTTTCTCATCCTTTTTCTTTTTGTGTTTTGTAAAGTGGGATTATATATTGCCCGTGTCTTTGTGAATGTAGTTATCTTCCTTGGATCTAGGTTTTCCTTCTAGCATTTTCTGTAGAGCTGGATTCATGGCTACTTATTGTTTGAATCTGGCTTTGTCATGGAATATTTTGTTTTCTCCATCTATGGTAATTGAGAGCTTTGCTGGATATAGTAGTCTGGGTTGGCATCCTTGTTCCCTTAGCGTTTGTAGGACATCTGTCCAGGATCTTCTGGCTTTCATCTTTTCCATTGAGAAGTCAGGTGTAATTCGGATCGGTCTGCCTTTGTATGTTACTTGGCCTTTTTCTTTAGCTGCTCTTAATATTTTCTCTTTACTCTGTAGGTTTGATGTTTTGATTATTATATGGTGAGGTGACTTCTTTTTCTGGTTGAGCCTATTTAGTGTTCTGTAAGATTCTTGTATTTTCATAGGCATATCTTTCTTTAGGTTAGGGAAGTTTTCTTCTATGATTTTGTTGAATATGCTTTCTGTACATTTGAGTTGTATTTCTTCGCCTTCTTCTATACCTATTATTCTCAGGTTTGGCTTCTTCACGGTGTCCCATATTTCCTGGATATTTTGTGTTAAGGATTTGTTGGTTTTGAGATTTTCTTTGGTTGACGACTCTATATCCTCTAATGAGTCTTCAACACCTGAGATTCTCTCTTCTATCTCTTGTATTCTATTGGTGATACTTGCATCTGTAGTTCCTGATCGTTTACCCAGCTTTTCTATTTCCAGCATCCCTTCATTCTGTGTTTTCTTTATCATTTGTATTTCAGCTTTCAATCCTTCAACTGTTTAAGTTGTTTCCCTAATTTTTTTGGTTGTTTTTTCTTGGTGCTCTTTAGATTCTTTGAGAGATTTGTTTATTTCTTGAATTTTCCTCCATTTCATGAATTTTTTTGTTTGTTTTGTCTTTTATTTCTTTAAGGTATTTCCTCGTTTCTTCTTTGAGGGTCTCCATCATCTTCATGAAATAATTTTTAAGGTCTGTCTCCTCTTCTTCGTCTATGTAGTGCTTTTCTGGTCTTGCTGGTGTTGGATCCCTAGATTCTGGTGGGGTCATGTTGGTGTTTCTATTGCTGAGTGAGCTCTTATTCTGTCTTCTTCCCATCTCTTCTTCCAGTGGGTGCTGGTGGGGTCTTTCCGTCTCCACTGGTCTCCTTCCTTCCTGCAGCTGAAGCTGGGGATGCTGACACCGAGTTTGGGGCCTAGAAGGGCTGATGTCTTTCCTGAAGCTGGACTCACTGGGGTTTGGGTCTTGGAATTGCTGACGTCTTTGCTGTGTGGGCGGGTCTCCTGAAGCTGGACTCACTGGGGTTGGGGTCTTGAAAGGGCTGATGTCTTTCCTGTGTGGGCGGGTCTTCTGAATGCCAGGAGCGACCTGGAAGATCAAGGGGATGGGTGTTGGGCGGGCCGTCTCCACCAGAGACCCAATCTCACCTGAAGCTGGACTCGCTGGGGTTGGGGTCTTGGAAGGGCTGATGTCTTTCCTGTCCTTTGTGGGTATTTGTGAGCATATTCCTTCATAAGAATAAAAGAGGGAAATTAGAAGTTAAAATTAGCAAAGCTAATGTCAAGGGGGGAAGGCTTTTAATGTGCTCATTAGAGGAATATGACAGGTACATTATAAAGTCAACTCAATTGCCCTTCTCAAAGCTGAGCATCTATCTGTAGTTCTGGGTTTTGCTTTTGAAGTACTTCAGTGCTGTGAACTACATGTGGTTACAATGAATGCACCCAAGTAATTTACTTTACTGTCCTACTGCATGGTACTCTTCTAAAAGGCCATTTTTACTGATGTAACTGATGTGGTTAGAGTCCAACTGATTTTTTTCTAACATAAATGAAATTATTTGATTTAATTTTCTGTGAATACTTGGAACTCACTGTCTCTCTTATTTTCAGGTTCAAGACACTCTTTGTGGCAGGGGAAAGGTGTGATGTGGAGACCCTAGAGTGGTCCAAAAAGGTCTTCAGAGTCCCTGTTCTAGACCATTGGTGGCAAACAGGTAACTGTTCCCTAAACCTTTCCTAAAAACTGCTGAAGTCCTTCAGAGCCCTCAGTGTACTGGAGGAGGTTCTTAGTCATGTCAATCAGGATCCACCGTTCTGATTTTAGTAGAAATAAACCCCCAAATATCACGGTGTCAATAATTCAACTAAAATAACCAAATTTACAATTTTGGTTATTTTAGTTGAAATGGTGTAGGCTTCAACGGATGTTGTAACGATACGGGACACACAATTACTGAAAGTAAAGCTAAGTATTTAATGTAGAAATTACTCACAAGATACCAAACCCAGAGGAGCCAAGCAGTTTTCAGCTGCCGGACCGGAAGCCGAACTCCAGGAAAAAAGAGCGAGACTTCCTGTGTGCTGTCTTTTATGCCTTCCCCCCGTAACGCCCCCTAGCGTAGTTCTGCCTAAGTACGTATACGTCTTTACGTCCAGCCGTATACGTCTTTAGTCCTGCCTAAAGTGGGTGGGGTTAGCGGTGTGGTAAACCGCCCTTTTATTACCTCATCTGTATGCGCCTCTAATAAGTCACATGTTTAATGGCGGCATCAGACTTCCTCCTACAATTCCCCTTTTAGTCTAAAAAGGACAACTAACTTGTGTCCATGAACAAAATGTATCAAACATCTATTCTATCTACCTAAACTTATCTGAAAGAAACACCCAAATATGAACACCTCCTTCCAATCCCAACTCTAAAAATAATTGAAAACTAACACTAACAGGTGTAAACTATCTTATAATATCAATAGTAGGGAGAGGGGGGCATGGAATTCTCAAAACTACTTCCTGCTGAGATGGGACGATGATAATCTCATGGGGACCTGTGAGAAGAAAAATGTTAGTATAACAAAATCTCAGTAGATCAGACAGTCTCTGTATGGCAGGAGATGCTTGATTGAAGTTCCTGACTGAGGTTCTAGTGTTGATTGAAGCTCTCATCTTGAAGCTCCTGCCAGATTGTAGAAGATGTGCTATTTCAGTTTCTTGGTCCGGAGTTGTGTAGAGTGATGTAGTTTCAAGCCAGTTTCAGGATAGTGCTTGTCAGGTGGAGGGCAGTTCAGATGCCTCCAGTCGAATCAGGTGAAGTCAAGGAAGTGGATCCTCATTCTCTTTCTGAAGCAGTTGAAGATTGCTGTCAGGAAATCCCTTGTTCTCTGGAAAACTCAAACATTAATGTTAACAAAGAAATATGTTAACTTTCATACGTATGCATACAGAAGATGTGACAATAGGGAAGATGGAAAACCTGGAGGAGATTAGACTGTTCAGAAAAAGAAATCCACAGATAACAGTCCCTCATTTTATTTCTTCTGTCTTATATCAATGGCTCTTTGATATAATACAGGAATTCTGAATCGTATTTAAATAATATGCTTGAGTTTAGAGTAGGAGAGCCAATCCAACTCCAAAGCCAGCTTCAGTTAAATGAATGGGGACTGAGGTATGTGAAGAAATAAAGATAAAAGGGTACTATGAAAAAACAATATAGAGAGATTTAGACTTTGATACCACACAGTGAGTTACTGTTTGTTTGATGGTCCTCAGGGTAGCTATTCATTCTCCTACAGGAATCCATATGTCCAGTATTCTTTGCTGAGTTTACCTGTGAATACAAAAAACAAAACACTTCTCTTTCCTTCTAGGAGGTCACTTTACCCATGGTGGACTATGAATTTGTAGATGGGCTGTTATCTTCCTCCTCCTGAGATGTTTTCTGTTCTGATCAAATTTTAATTAATTTTGATGGAACCCAAACCTTTTCTTCTCCTGTGGAAACAAAAGCATAACCCCTTCCCCAACGTAACACATATCCTGGTTTCCAGACTGAGGTCATAACATCCTTAAAATACACCGGTTGGTTCAGTTCAGAAGTCTTCTCTGTAGTCCAGTGTCTTTCTGCTGCAGTTTGTCCTTTTTCATCAGCATTAAGAAAATTCAACGTTAGTAAAGCATTGTGTAACCTGTGTTTAGGTGTCTTTGTTTTCCCTGGCTGTTTATGAAGCATCTCTTTTAAGGTTCGGTTAGATCTTTCAATTATTGCTTGTCCTGTGGGATTGTAAGGTATACCAGTTACATGTTTTATATTATAATATTTGAAGAATTGTTCCAATTTACTGGAGACATATGCTGGACCATTGTCAGTTTTTATTGTTTTAGGTATACCCATAACAGCCATCACCTCTAAGAGGTGTGTAACAACAGAGTCAGCTTTTTCAGAGCTCAGGGCAGTAGCCCATTGGAAGCCTGAGAACGTGTCTATAATATGGTGTACATATTTCAAACTGCCAAATTCTGGGAAGTGAGATACATCCATTTGCAAAAGTTCATTTCTGTGAATACCTTTAGGATTACAACCTGCTGGTAATGGAGTTTGATTGTACAATGAGCAACTGGGACAATTTCTTACTATTTCTTTGGCTTGTTGCCAGGTAATAGAAAATCCTTCTTTAAACCTTTGCTGATAATATGGTGTTTCATATGAAATTCTGAAGCTTCCAACACATTACCTACTAATAAACGATCAATTTCATCATTGCCTTGTGCCAAAGGACCTGGCAGACCTGTATGGGATCTGATGTGTGTTATATATATAGGATGAGTCCTGTTTCTGATGATTTCCTGCAATTGTAAAAACAATGAGGTTAATTCTGTATTATCAGGAACAAATTCTGCAGTCTCAATGTGCAAGACAACTCTTTCTGCATACTGAGAATCCGTGACTATATTGAGAGGCTCTGTAAAGTCTTTAAGTACCATGAGAATGGCATATAACTCTGCCTTTTGTACGGAGTTGTAAGGGCTTTGAACTACTTTACTTATATTTCCTGATTTATACCCTGCCTTACCTGATTTGTTTGCATCCGTGTAGAAGGTAAGAACTCCAGAAATAGGTGTTTGCCTCACGATACGTGGAAGAATCCAAATTGTTTTCTTTATGAATTTGATTCTCTCTGTTTTGGGATAGTTATTATTAATACTTCCCAAAAAGTCACTGCAAGCTATTTGCCAATACTCATTATCCTTCCATAAGGAGGAAATTTCCTCATTCGTTAAAGGTACAATAATTTCAGCTGGGTCTTCCCCTGTCAGTTGATGAAGCCTTAATTTACCTTTTAATATCAAATCAGAGATCTTTTCTATATATGTTTTCAATTTTTTATTCTGTTTATGTGGCAGAAATACCCATTCTAGAATGATGTCTTCCCTCTGCATTAATATTCCTGAGGGGTATTCTCTAGATGGTAAAATAACCAGAATACAGTCCAGATTTGGTCCACATGTGCTTCTAATATTCTCTTTTCTACACATTCTAATTCTTTTTCAGCCTCAGCTGATAGTACTCGTGGGCTGTTTAGGTCTTTATCTCCTTTTAAAGCCATTTTCAGGTGTTTTAAATCATGTCTTTCTACACCAATAATCATCTGTAATTGAGAGATTTCTCCTAATAGTTTTTGAAGATCATTAAGAGTCCGGTAACAATCTCTTCTGATCTGTACTTTCTGTGGTCTAATTTTCTGAGCATCTATTTTATAACCTAAATAGTTAAAAGAATCTCCTCTTTGTATTTTTTCTGGGGCAATTTGTAATCCCCAGCGAGGCAAAATTTCCTTTACTGCCTCAAACATCTTTTCCAAAGTATCCTTATTTGAATCAGACAATAATATGTCATCCATATAATGATATATTAATGAATGTGGAAATTATTTACGAATTATTTCTAGAGGTTTATTCACAAAATATTGACACAAAGTTGGACTGTTTAACATACCTTGAGGTAGTACCTTCCACTGGAATCTCTGTACCAGATGGGAATTATTATAGGTAGGTACCATGAAGGCGAACTTTTCTCTGTCGTTTTCTTGTAACGGTATGGTGAAGAAACAATCTTTTAAGTCTATAACTATAATTGGCCAATCCTTAGGAGTTAGAGAAGGTAATGGCATTCCAGGTTGTAGAGACCCCATAGGCTGAATTACCTTGTTGATGGCTCTAAGATCAGTAACCATTCTCCACTTACCAGACTTCTTGACAACAAAAACAGGCGAATTCCATGCACTAGTTGATTCCTCAATATGTCCAGCATCTAGCTGTTCCTGAACTAACTTCTCCAAAGTCTCTAACTTCTCAGATGTCATAGGCCATTGACCCACCCAGACGGGTTCATCTGTCAGCCATTTTAATGGTAGAGCTTTTGGTTGCTCTGTAGGTTTGGCACTAACATCTTGCTTCTGTACAGCCTGTACATTTGGCATCTGTTTTCTGTACTGTCTTACTATATTCTTTCTACCACTAAGAGCTTGTCTATAATTCCTAGCTGATACAGGAGGAATGTTAATCTGCGTATTCCATTGCTGGAGTAGATCACGACCCCAGAGGTTTATAGCAATATCTGCAACATATGGCTTTAACCTTCCTCTCTGTCCTTCTGGCCCAATAAAGTCAATCCATCTAACGCTCTGTTTAACTTCAGATAGGGTTCCAATCCCTAAGAATTGAACATTAACCTCTTTTAAAGCCCAGTTGGGTGGCCAGGACGGCTGATTAATGATAGTGACGTCACTTCTGGTGTCCAGTAATCCGTAAATCACCCTTTTATTTACCTTAACTGGTAGCTTGGGTCTATGATATTGTATAGAATTTGCCAAAATATATGTTTTGTATCTCCTCCTGATGTAATTGATTCATCCTCTGGAGCTAATGTATTATCCAGTGCCGTATTATTTACAATGGGCAGTGGATCTTCTAATTGTCATGGGAGAGGCTGTCCTCCACTGTCACTGGGAATGACCGGATAATCTTCCTTTTTGGGGCTCCATTGAGCCCCTTAACCCCGTTTCCCGGCTTTAACGATCTACCTTGTCTGTCTATTGTGGAAAAACATTCATCAGTCCAATGGCGCCCCTTCCCACACCTCCTGCATAGACCAGGAGGCTTAGGCCTTCTGTTTGATGCATTCCTGGTAAAAGCATTATGTCTAGGAATGCGTTGT